CCTTTGGCATGGCACGTCACCGTGCGGCACGACACAGCGCAACCCAGCAGAGCATCGTTACCATCGACATCTTCAGCATTGCCACTGCTCATCGCCCAACTGAGGTCCTTTGGGACGCTTCCCATGCCTCGCAGTTCCAGATCCCTTTCCGGCGTCGCGTGTCGATCATCGGCGGCGAGCGAGGGGGGAAAATGAGAAGGAGAAGGCCTTCTCAGAAGGTTCGGAAGTCCCGTGGCCTTCGAGAAGTTCTCTGAGCCTTCTCCGAAGCCACCAGAACCACCTCAGCAGGCGCGAGGGTTTCTGAGAAGCCCCGCCGCCTTCTGAGAGGGCCTTCTCCTTCTCCCTTCTTCCCCCCTCGCTTGCCGCCGAGATCATGTGGGGTGCTCTGGAGCGTTCGGGGGTGGCTTATCTTCAGCCTTGCCACCGCTTATCGTCCAGTTGAGGTCCTTTCGGGCGCTCTCATGCCTCGCAGTTCTGAATTCCTTTCCGGGTGAGGAGGAGGAGGAGGAGGCGGAGGAGGAGGAGAAGGAGGAGGATAAGGAGGAGGAGGAGGAGGAGGAGGAGGAGAAGTGTCGATCGTGTTGGGTTCTCTGGAGCCTTCGGGGGGGGGGGTCCCGGAAAGGGCATAGGCACAGGGGTCTCTTTTGTAGTATGTTGAGGAACCTGGCATCGCTCGGACGTGTGCATTCTTTTCTCGGCGAGAACTATCGAGGACCATCCTGGATCATCGAGCAAAAAAAAACACGCACGAAATCGAAAAATGCACGGGAAATGGACGTCCGAGCGACGGCAAGGGAACTGGGGGGAGGCCGGAGGATGTCCGTTCGATGAAAATGCGGTAACGTCCAATTCGGCGTGAAGCAAATGCGTTTCGCGCGTGCCCGCTCGAGGAAAGTGCGCCCCCCCTTGTCGGATCCTCGGTAAAAAAAAAGGGTCTGCAGACATCCGTTTTCCCGGGTGAAAAAAGGGTACGGGGCATTTTCAGCAGAATCCTGGGGAAAACCAAGGTTTGGAGCCCCGACCGGGACACGACAAATGTAACAATGTTACCTTTTTGCGTGCTCGCTCGAGGATGGCGCGTCCTGCGCGCAGAAATTCAAGGGATGTCTTGAGCGAAACGCTCGTTTTGCAACATTTGACGGGCCTGGGCGCTCCAGGATGCTTGGATCGCAAACCCATTGTAAATTACAAGGGATCGTGGCTTTAGGAGCGCGGGCGCCGCGTAATTTACGAGGGCTCTTGGCCCTGGGAGCGCGGATCAAGCGTAATTTATAAGGGATCGTGGCCTTGGGAGTGCTGGGGTTGCGTAAGTTACAAGAGGGTGCGGCCTTTGGGGCGCAGATCCAAGGTAATGTATGAGGGATCGCGGCTTTGGGAGCGCAGATCCCGCGTCAATTCTTGGGGATTGCGTCCTTGGGAGCGCGGGGGCCGCGTAATTTGCAAGGGATCGTGGCCCTGGGAGCGCGGGCGCCATGTAATTCACGAGGGATCGTGGCCCTGGGAGCGCGGATGCCGAATAGTTTAGACTTTGTTGAGGACGTCTCGGGCGAAACGGTTGTTTTGTGTTCTATCTTGTTATAGATTGTTCAGTAGCGCGTCCCTTTGGCAAGTCCCGCGGTGCGTCTCCATGGCACGTCCCTTGGCACGTCGCCTGGCGCGTCCCTTGGGACGTTCCGCGGCACGTTTTGCTGGCATGTCCCCCTGTCAATGAGCTCTGGGGCAGCTACTATGTGCTCAGGCAGCTCGAGCTCAAGGTCCAGATCAGTTCGGTCAGGACTCGGATGCAAGGGAGGACTCGACCCACAACATTATAGAGCACAATCGCGGCATGGCACATCGCAGCTCAGCACGGCGCAGCACAGCACAGCCATCGGCACGGCACATCAAGATCGATACACTCAGCATTGCAACTTAGCACGTTCCCTGGCACGTTCCGTGGCGCGTCCCGTGGCGAGTCCCCTTGGCACGTCGCGCGGCGCGTCCCCTGGCACGTCCCGTGGCACGTCCATTGGCACGTTCCGTAGCGCGTCCCCTTGGCACGCCCCGCGGTGCGTCCCCGTGGCACGTCCCCTGGCACGTCGTTTGGCGCGTCCCTTAGGACGTTCCGCGGCGCGTCCTCCTGGCATGCGCAGCTACTATGTGCTCAGGCAGCTCGAGCTCAAGGTCCAGATCAGTTCGGTCAGGACTCGGATGCAAAGGAGGAAGCGATCCACAACGCTATCGAGCACAATCGCGGCATGACGCATCGCCAGTCAGCACGGCGCAGCACAGCACAGCCCTCGGCACGGTTCACCAAGATCGATATACTCAGCATTGCATGTGCCCGTCGCCCAATCAGATGTTTTTGGAACGTTGTCATGCTTTACATGTCTAGATTCCTTTCCAGGTGAGGCGGAGGAGGAGGAGGAGGAGGAGGAGGAGGAGGAGACGGAGGACGACGAGGACGACGAGGACGACGAGGACGAGGACGAGGACGAGGAGGAGGAGGAGGAGGAGGAGGAGGAGGAGGAGGAGGAGGTGTGTCGATGGTGTTGGGTGATCTGGAGCCTTCGGGGTGGTGGTTTGTTGGGGGGCCGACGAGGGGCCGCCGCCTCGGGGAGAGAGGCGGCGGGGGCGCCCTCTGTGTCAAGAGCAGCGGCGAGGCGCCCCCGCTTGCCTCCCAGGCCCGCCCGAGGGTCTTCTCAGGCTTGAGACTTGTTCGATGGGCTCCCTTCCTCCACTCCTCCACCTCCTCCTCCTCCTCATGCCTTTGCCCTCCTCTCCTCCCTTACCTCCTCCTCCTCCCCCCTTGCCCTCCTCTCACTCCTCCGCTCCTCCTTTCCTCCTGCCTTCCTTCCTCTCCTCCCCCCTCCTCCTCTTCCTCCTCCTCCTCCTCCTCCTCCTCCTCCTCCTTCCCCTCCTCATCCCCTTCTTCCTCCTCCTCACCCGATCTCGTGGGCCAAGTCACCCGCCAGGCCTGCGACGCCCAGGATCGATCACTTTCGCCGACGGAGAAGGACATCCGCCACAAGAAGAAGATATCGCGGCCCTGGCGCAGGCGCAGGTTACGTTCTGGAAGAAATGGAAGCCCAACGGAGAAGAGTACACTGCAGCGTTGGGCAAACTCAAGCAAGTCAGGGCCTCCGTCCTGGCTACCAAGTCGTTGGATCAACAGGCTCAATCTCTCTCGGACCAGCTGGAGACCCAGCGCCAGAAGTACATCACGCAGACCACGGAGCTCAAGAAGCTCGTCGAGACCATCCTGGAAGTCAGTGGGCGGCACTCCAAACTCGTCGAGGAGGCCAAGTCCACGCAGCAGGAGATCCAGAGTCTCGAGAGCCAATGCAACATGGCCAAGCAGGCCGCCATGCAAGCAGCCACAAAGGACGAAGATCTACTCTCGACCTTGCAAGGAGTTCTCGCAGCCCGTATGCCGCCAGGCAGCAGGGCACCACCCGACCTCTGCTCGAAGGTGGCAGAGCTCGCCTCCTATTTCGACGACCTCACCGCCCAGCACGCGCAGACCCAGTCGCCCTCAGACTTCCCTGCTGTCGGCCAGTGCCCAGAGGATGAGTCTGCAGTGGACGCTGGCTCCGCGGCAAGCCAGCAGACCAACCCCGCCGAGCATGTGCCGACCCCGACCGACACCGAGCTCGACGACGGCAAGATGGACGAGTCGGAGTCCCTGGTGCGCGCGGCGTCCGCCCTCCAGTCCGTGGCCGGCGGCATGGCGGAGATCCAGGGCGAGAACGGCCCAGAGGTCAAGCGGGCGAAGGCGGCGGCCGCCACCGCAGCCGCGGGCGCCTCAGGACCAACTACGTCGCGTTCCTGACGGAAACATCTACACGTTTGCCACGATCAACGGATCGTGCTGGGGAGCAGTGAAGGCCTTCGTTGAGTCCGCCACTGCGAATGATTTAAGTTTCATTTGCGCACAGGAGTGCAAGCTAGAGTCAGGTGATAGCATCACGCGTCAGATTTAATGGTGCTTCGCACGCGGCTGGCTCGCCCACATTTCGCCAGCCGCCCGCAGCCCCTCGGGTGAATTCATCTCGGGGGTGGCGGTTTTAGTTCGGGACGGCTTGGACTTGGGGGTCCAGCCTCTCCCCTTCCCTCCCGCGACGGACAGCTCCAGGATCGCTGGAGTTGTCATCGAAGCGCCAGGGGTCCCAGCCTTCGGTTTGGTGAGCGCTTATTTTCAGGCTTCTGTGGGTCTCAATGAGACCAATCTAAATCTGCTGGCCACAATCGGCCAGACCCAGGATCTCGCGGGCAAGCCTCTCATTGTTGCTGGTGATTTCAATTTGCAGCCAGAGAGGATCCAGACAGGCACAGATTTTCTTACTCGTGCCACGATGTTGGTTGCGGCGCCCACTGCTGCCACCTACTACACTAAGAAGACGAAGTCGACCATCGATTTCTTTCTCCACAGCCAGGCCTTAGGGCCATGGCTGAACCCCCCTCGTTCCTTGGCCTCCTATCCTCTCTCCCCCCACCGTCCTGTTATCATGACCCTGCGAGTGCAGGACAACTTTAAGACCCCGACGCTCCTCAGGCCCCAGAAGCTCCCCACTAGGACGCCTATAGGACCTCAGCTCCCGTCGGTAAGTTGGCATCAGACAGCTGCAGTGGTAGATTATGCTATCCAACTTCTCGGAGATGCTCCCCAGCCCCTCTCCGACCAGCAGCGCTCCACCATCCTGGACCACGTGTGCTACACCCTCGTCCAGGACCTGGAACACGCACTCAGTGTGAAAACGGACACCCCCCTCAAACCCAGCAAAACCCCCAGGGCCCACCCTCCCCAGATCCACTGGGTCTCGGCGAGTGCCAAGTGCTCCCAGGGACGAAAACGCTGGACGGCCTACTCCAGGCCCCTTCGGTGGCTCCGGAATCGGCTGCAAGGTTTTCGGCGCAGCATCCAGGATGAGGATCTCCAGGAGTTTCGGGGCACCCTGGACAGTCTGGAAGGCAGCCCAGATAGCTTTAACACCTCCCCTGCCCTGGCCCAAGGGCTGCAGGAAGTTCGTATAGCTGCAGGACTTATGCATGAGGATTTCCAGGCGCAGAGGCTCAACGCTGCGCTGGGCATCCAGATTTTAGATGATCTGCTCGAGCAGGTCGGCAAGGTAATCAACTCTGAGCTTGCCGCCGAGCACAGTAAGGACGGGCAGGAGTGGAGGGATTGGGTGCAATCTTCCATGAGAGGTGGAGTGGGATGGGCCCACAGGTGGACGAAGAAGCTCGAAGCCTGGAAGCCAGTCTCTGTTGTGCATCGCCAGCGTTTTTCTGGACGCCCGCAGCGCATCCTCCAGGTTGAGGCCGACAGACTCGCCGAGATTTGGAACGTCCATCCCGAAGCCCCTCCGCAGTGGGTTCCCCCGACCGACGACAGAGTGGCCCTGGGGCCCATCGCCCCCGAGCGCCTCCGCAAAGTTTGTCGAAGTTTTCCGCGCAATACGGCCTCAACGTGGGATGGAGTGCACCCGCGTCATTTCGCCATGCTCGACGACGAGCAAGCCGACCTAGTCTGTAAGTTGATCGAGCTTGTTGAGCAGATCGGGCACATGCCATCGCAGCTGCAGGGTGCTATCTCGACCCTCCTGCTCAAACTCAAACAGCAGGAATACATCAACGCACAACCAGCCTTTCGGTCGATTGGCATGCTCCCTGCTCTCTATCGTGCGTGGGCCCGTTTGCGAAGGTCGGCGGCCCGTGAGTGGGAGTATCACCACAAAAGACCCTACATAGCACACCAGGCGGGGCACTCCATCGTGGAACTCGTCTACGCTCAGTCGCTTGAATGTGAATTTCACGCTTGCAGTGAGGAACCCCAACACTCCGCTCAAGTTCTGTGGGGCCTCTCGAACTATTATGAACATGTTGATCGTGAGTGCCTCGCCAAGCGTGCTGTAGCGTTTGGTTTCCCGTGCTGCTTGCTCCGTGTCATCCTTGCTCAGTACGGAGGTCCCAGGTTTGTTGTCATGCAAGATGTTAGCGTCAGTGTCGGCAATGCGTGGATGGGGTCTCATTGCTGGGTGTGGGTGGGCAACGTACCTGGTGCAAATGTATGTGCTCGCCCCCCTTGACCAGTGGGCGGCCGCGCACTGCCACGTCCGACTCGCGATGTTTATCGACGATTTGTCGCTGCAGTGTCATGGCAGGAGCTGCGACGCTGTGATCTGCCAGACGAGTTCGGCGGCTAGGTCTTTAGCCACATGTATCCAGCACGAGCTTAAGTGCCAGATTGCTAACAAGAAGAGCCAGGTTTTAGCCTCCAGCCAGGACCTCCAAAACAAGCTTAGGAAGACCCTCGGGACGCTCGCGGGGCCCTCCACGGACATCTCAGGTCCCAACCTCGGCATCGAAAGCGGAGCTGGACGACCCCAAAGGAGATGGAGGAGAGGAAGGAAGCTTTTGGAGCGCATCAACAAGATCAAGAAACGCATGGCCCGCATTAAAATGATCAAACATGCTGGAGGCAATGGGAAGAAACTATATATTACTGGCCTGGCTGCGGCCACCACCTTCGGAGTGGAGGCCGCGGGCATCAACAACACGATGCTCGCGCAGGCACAGTCTCAGTATCTAGCCGCGGCAGGTCCTAAGCGCGCCTCAAGGAGTCGTACTCTCGCCCTCCTCATCCTCCAGGACCCCCTGTGGAAAGCGGGCCTCGGGCCCGCGCTCATGTGGCACCGTCTCGTCTGGGGGGCCCATGCCCTTCCAGACAAGGCTGTGGTCAGTCTCCAGCAACTCAGCTACTGGGGTGAGGCTATTTTGCCGAGGGTTTCTAAAGCGTGGGGCTCCTGTAGGGGGGCCCTCTCAGTGCTGCGGCCCTTTCGTTGGCCAGAGTGGGTTGGTCGTTCCAGGGGCCCTTCAGGTTTGTGACCCCTGCAGGACTTGAGTACCCCCTCCCAGGAACCTCCCCAGCCTACATTGCCAAGCAGCTCGAGATTGCCTGGTACGATCGCCTCGCAGAGCGGGCTGCTGCCAAGATGAGATTCCAAGGAGAGCGGCTGGATGCCGCAGCACTATGCACTGTCCTCAGGTCAGACGACATGACCAAGCAGCAGCGCGGCACGTTGCTGGCCTTTGCCACACAGAGCATTTGGACTATGGAGCGTGCACTAGCAGCGGGATGCGATGTGCCCCAAGGTTGCCCATGTGGACACCACAAATATGACCTCCAACATCGCCTCCTGGAGTGTCCCAAGACCGCCAACGCCAGAGAAGTGTTCGATAGTGGGGAGCTTCGTAGGTTGAAAGGCCCGATCTCTGGCACCTCCCCCCTCCACCTCGGCTTCCAGTTTAAGCCCGATTTCGTGGGCCCCCCCCCCCTCCTGGTACTGGCTTTGAATCCGCCCAGTTCTGGTGTCGAGACCCTCATTTAAGGCTTGAGGAAGCGTTCAAAGGGGATGTGTTTATTGACGGCAGCTGTACGAATCACGGCCACTATGATTTCAATGCGGCAGCGTTTGCTGTAGTGTGCATGGTTGATGGTGAAGAGTTTGCCACCTTCAGTGGCCGCGTTGGGGCCCTGGGATCCCAAACCTCGGGGGCAGCTGAGCACCTCGCAGCCGTGGCTGCGGGTAGACTCTCGAGCCAAGTTGTCAGCGTTTGTACTGATTATAAAGGAGTGTTGCAGCTGCATGGGGAGGCAGGTTATCCTCGCCGTAACCTGTGGCCTGGTTGTAAAGTCCTTGCGGGAGGGGGTTTCTTTGACCTCGGCCCCAAGCTCCAGAAAGTCAAGGCCCATCAAAATCTGGAGCTGCTGCCACCCAACAGCGAAGAATATCGCATAGCCAGAGGCAACGGTGCCGCCGATAGGATGGCCAAGGCCGCCGCGAACCCTGGCAGCCAACCCAGCACTAACGAGACAGAGCAGTATCAGAGTGACACTGCTCTGCCCAAGAAATATATCCGTTATATGTCCCAGGCCCTTGGAGAGTGGCCAGCGATTGCCCCACGTAGGAACAAGGCACTGGCCAAGCCTGCCAAGAGTCCCTCCCCACCCTCGGGGGCTGCCTCAGCCCAGGCCTCCTGGGGCCAAGGTGCGCGGGGCCCTGCGGCCCCTGGTGCCCCTCCTCCTCCTCCGAGGCCTCCCCCCCCCTCGCCTCCGAGGCCCCTGGACCCCGCAGGGCCCACCAGTGGCGCCATATAGGTTCCAGCTGGCAATGTTTTGCGTGCAGACAGAGGTGTGGAAGCACCCAAGTAAGACAACGTCGTGAGAAGGAGGTTTGTCTTGGGCACTGTGCACTGCACAGTGATTTGCTCATCAACCCGAAAGGACACCTCCCATATTTCTTCGGTTTTGTGGACGAATCTATTCCCTCGAGTATCACCATGTGCTTGAAGCGTGGATGCTTCGCCGAGAGCACTCGAGGACCAGGGTTTCAAGCTACATGCCCAGAGTCCCCGCCTAACCACGGTCGCAAGCTACAACGACAGCGAGCCATGGAGGGACGACACCCCAAAGGTGCGGCTTTTTCCCCGATAATTTTGAAAGCTCCCATCCCCTTGGCTCAGCTAGCCCAGGAACTAGCTGAGGCTGGCGCTGCCAGCTTCAATGCAAGCCAGCAGAGCAGCGTCGGGAGCTAGCCAGGGCGATTCCGCCGTGTTCACGAACGCCCCAACCCAGGGGATGCGGATTTCACGCCCAAGACGGCAAACCCACCCACAGTCAGTGCGCTGGTCCTCCTCCTCCTCCTGATCATTGCTTCTACTCTGCCGAAACCTAGAGGAGGTGGTCGCATCTTGGGATTGCTGCCTCACCTAGTACGGCTGTGGGCCCGCCTGCGTAGCCAGCACACGTTGAATTGGAGCGAAGCCCTCGAGGAGCATTGAGATACAGCTGTTCGTGGTTCGTCGGCGCTGCAGGCTGCGCTGATCCGTTCGCGCATGGACGAGAGTTGCCGCGAGATGGGTATTGCCTCGTCGACGCCTCTTTTGGATCTGGAAAAGTTCTACGACAGCCTGTCCTTCTCATTGCTATGTGTCTCAGCCTTGCAGCAAAGGTTTCCTCCTCAAGTTCTGGCTCTCGAGGTTCAGATGTTCATGGCCCCTCGCCACCTGAAGGATCAGAATTCTATTTGCAAGCAGATCTTGCCGCAACGCAGTGTTGTGGCTGGTTCCTTGAATGGCGGACGACTTGCGAAGGCCTTTTTAGGGCCAATTCTTCAGCGCGCCCAGCAGCGCTCCGAAGGCCGTATCATGTTGCGCACCTTTGTGGGCGACACTGTGCTGAGGGTTGAAGGTCCAGAGAGAGTTGTTGGCGACCTTCTCGTGGAATCTGGTTGTGCGTTGTGTGATGATCTCGGCTCTGCTGGACTGACGGTTAGCCCCAGGACTGTGGTGATTTCCTCGTCAGGTTCCCTGTCTCTCAAGGTTTGCAATGGGCTTCGACGTGCGGGAGTTCCAGTCGCTGCAGTTCGGCATGCGGTGGATCCGGGGATGGATGCTTCTGCTGGCAGGTGCCGCTCCCGACACAACGCGTTGGATCGTGTCAAGAGAGCGAAGTCGCGGGCCATGGCTATTCGTCGTATGCGCATGCACGCCAAGCTCCGCAAGGTCACCAGTGCACTGTGGTCTACAGGGGCAAAGCCGCAGGGGACCTATGCTCACCAAGCGTATGGTATCCCTCGTCATCTCTTGGTGCAGTTGAGGCGACAGGCTCCTCGGTGCCATGAGAAACCTGAGTCACTGTTCCACAGAGTGTGGGAATGTTCTGCTAACACCCAGCATGATGATTTCGATTTTTCCCAGCATTTGTATCCTGAGGCACAGGCACAGCATGAGGCGTATCCTGGATTCTGGCTTCGAGGCGTGCCTGGAGTCAGTGAGACCGTGCCCACCTTCGCTCCTCTCCCCCCCACGGTTGTAGATTTTGGACCTTTCGACCTGATTCCCCGCGACGCCGAAGGTTTCGCCACGATCTTCGGTGACGGGTCGGGGGGGCGCTTCTCGAGCGACCCTCGGCGTCGCAGGGTCGGGGCGGGGATAATAGGCCTCACTCCTGTCGGTTCTTCTTGGGAACCCTCCGCGGGGCGTGGGTCCACTCTCGAGGGCAGAAGGCAGTCTGTGCCTCGCGCGGAGCTCCTGGCGTTCCTCATGGCTCTTAGGGTGTCCTCTAGTAATCTGCGCTTTGTCACCGATCACAGGCCGTTGGTGGATACTTGGAGCAGAATTCAGCGTGTTGGTGAGTCGTGTTGGACGTTGGGTTCGAACGCTGATCTCTGGTCCGATATCCTGAAGGCTGTCGCCTCCCGCGGACCTGGTGTGATCGATATCGTTTGGACGCCCTCTCATGTAGAGTTCGATCAGTTGCCTGTTCTGTCTGCGCAGCAGGTTTTTCATATGTTTGGTAATGAATCAGCAGACTCGCTTGCTGGATTCATGGCCGAGATTGCGTGGTCTCAGTATGTTGTTTCCCCTGTTCCTAGCACTGATGAGCGGGATGCCATGGCCTCGTTGATCCGTCGTCGTGCGCGGAGAGCCCTTGCGTGTTGTATCCTTGGTGATCCATGGACCGCGGAATGGCAGCCCCCCAGTAGAGGCGAGGCTGCGCTCCCGAGGCTCGCTCGCTCGCTTCGGGACTCGCCTCACGTGTGGGCCCGTGCGGGCCCGAAATTTTGGTGCAGGAGGTGCGATTTGCTCGCCAACCAGGACTCGATTTTCCAGGTTTGTGAATCTCCCTGCAGGGGTGGTGGAACTAATGAGTTCTCCCCCATATTCGGGCCCGCGGGTTGTCGGGGGGAAAACCTTCCACGAGACCCATCTGCTCCATTTTTGGCGGAATTATATGCTGATTTTTTGCACCCAATGCGGGAAGACGTGCACGACGGATGCACGGCAGTTTGTCCCTCGATGCGAGCCCTCGGCAAAGGGCAGACAGAACCTTGCCCGCATCGATCGAGGCGAATACCCACACCCAGGAGGCCCCCCCAAAGCGGTGAGGGAGGCCTTGGGTTCCTGATCTTGTAAGTTTCTGCACTTGCATTATGGGCATTGTTTTTGACCTACGTTGTCATTTTACCCCAATGTTCCCCATGTTCCTCCTCCTCCTCCTCCTCCTCCTCCTCCTCCTCCTCCCTCCTCCTCCTCATATCGAGGGACCCCATGACTCGAAGAAGACACATCGCCATAAACATACATGTTTTGCGCTCCGCGCGGATTTCTTGGATCCACGCTGGGTCCCCCTCTGGCGGCGCCTCCGCCCCTGGCTCCGCGCGCCAGGGAGGGAGGTCCAGCGCAGATCCAAGAAGTCCGCGCGGAGCGCCCACTGTTTATGCTTGTGGCGTGTTTTCTATTTCTACTCAGGGCACCTTCTGGCTGAGACTGTGCTGTACTCACACCTCGGGATTCGATTATGAGAGCATTTCTTCTATCTCTTCTGTTCTCAGAGCACCGCTCGGTTCTGACAGCACGTCGTGGCAGGCCTCGAGGAACGCCAGTGCGGCCGGTCCCTGCGGCACGCTGGTGGCCCCCTCCGAGCTGCCTGGTGGATGGCGTGCGGGAGGGCGCCCAGCCGACGGGACGCCCTAGGGGGGCTGGAGTCCGACGATGCGCCTCCAAGGGCAACGCCAGGGGAGGGACCGGGCTGGGGGGGTCCCGTGGAGACGCAGGACTCGAGCGCTACGCCGGAGCTCGGGGGCTGGCCGACGCCTTTTGCTCCTCCTCCTCCTCCTCCTCCGCCTATCCCCCTCCTCCTCCTCCTCCTCCTCCTCCTCCTCCTCCTCCTCCTCCTCATCCTCCTCCTCCTCCTCCCCCTCTTCCTCGTCCTCCTCCCCCTCCTCCTCCTCCTCCTCCTCCTCCTCCTTCTCATCGTCATCATCATCCCTCCCCTCCTCCTCCTCCTCCGCCTCTTCCTCCTTCGCCTCCTCCTGGATTTGGACGGTCCAGATTTCGTCGGACGCTTGCAGTGCGAGCTCGCGTCGCATTCCAGACTGGGGCTCGTCATTTTCAGGGTGGCCCCGTCAGGCCAACCCGAGCCCCCTGAGCCCGAGTCTTGCGCCTCCCCGATGGTAAGCATCGACTCGCATGGACCCCCAATCGCCGATTCATCGCCGATCGGGTCCAGTGTGGCCCAGCCTGTCCAGGAATGTCGGGGTTCCCCATCGGTGGCGTTGTCGCAGATCCATCGGAGATGCTCGCCGATTCCAAGTCAAAGTTCTCCCCTATCCTTCCCCCTCCCAGTTTTTGCTGTCCGAGGATGCACGTCCCGACTGCACTTGTCGGTGCCGACGCGCTGCATTTTGAATCTGCAGTCTTGCTGCTGCCGTCATAGTTTCAAGGACCGATTATTCTGATTCAGAGATCACGCTCATTTTTAAGTTTCCAGAATCACATGCGGCCACTGGCACCGAGCTGTGGCGCCGCGCTGCCAGGCAGGTGCAAGCCTGCTGGCCCGACTGGGAAGAGGGCGCCACCTAGGCATTCCCCACCTATACCCCCACCTTTGATGCTTCCGCACTCCCCAGACCCCCGATTTCATGATTCTCGGAAAGGGCAGAGGCCCAGGGTTCTCGTTTAGTCCGTACACTGTCCCCGGTACCAAGTTCGAAAAGGACCGGCTGATCCTTTCTCGGATGAGTGACGAGATCGGAGAGGGCCTGCGGAATAAGATTTGAGGATGTCCCCAGCGAAACGCTAGTGTTTCAAATTCGGATCGATAAAACACAGGTTACAGTATACATGTCCGTTTGTTGCGGATGTCTCGATCGAAACGCTTGTGTTGCATACTTTGTGGAGGAAGTCTCGAGCGAAACGTTTGTTTCGTGCTATAGATCGTTCCTCTCCTACGGACCAGAATTCATATCATGTCTCAGGTGAAATGCTCGTGTTCACGTGCCCAGGTCTTGATTGATGTCTGGAGCGAGACGCTTGGTTTCACGCCTCCAAGTTGCCCAGGCAGATGTCTAGCACCAGGATGTGTTGATGATGTCTCTCGAGAGACGTTTGTTTTCACGCGTCCAGGTCGTCAAGGGAGATGTCTGGCATGAGGATGTGTTGATGATGTCTTTCTCTCTCTCTCTCTCGAGAGAGAGAGAGAGAGAGAGAGAGAGAAAAAGAGAGAGAGAGAGAGAGACGCTTGCTTCTGCTTGTCAAGGTTGCCCAGGCGGATGTCTAGCATGAGGATGTGTTGAGAAAGTCTCAAGCGAGACGCCTGGTTTCACACGCCCAGGTCGCCCAGGCGGATGTCTAACATGAAGATATGTCGAAGATGTGTCGAGCGAAACGCTTGCTTTCACGTGTCCAGGTCGCCCAGGCGGATGTCTAACATGAGAATTTGGGTGGGAAGTCTCGAGCAAAACGCATGTCAAAGTACATGAGGAGTGGTTGAGAACGTCTCGAGCGAAACGCCTGTTTTCACGTGCCCAGGTCGCCAAGGTGGATGTCTGATATGAGCATACGGGCAGGAAGTCTCGAGCGAACCGCTTGTTTTCACGTGTCCAAGTCGCCCAGGCGGATGTTTTGCATGAGGATGTGTTGAGGGTCTGCTTATTTAAGCGCTTGGTTTCACGTGTCTAGGTCACCCAGGCGGATGTCTAACATGAGCATTTGGGCAGGGTGTCTCGCAAGCGAAACGCTTATCTTCACGCGTCCAGGTCGCTCAGGCAGATGTCTAACAGGAGAAGGTGTTGAAAGCGTCTCGAGTGAAACGCTTAGTTTCGCATGTCCAGGTCGTACAGGGGGTGTCTAGCGTTAACTTGGATGCGTTGAGGATGTCTCGAGCGAGACGCTTGTCTTCACGTGTCCAGGTCGCTCAGGCGGATGTCTAACGTGAGCATCTGGGTAGGATGTCTCGAGCAAAACGCTTGTCGCAGTACATAAAGTGCACTGCAGTCCAACCCCGCCCGTCCGTGGGGCGTCCCCTGGCGCGCTTGCGCGTCTCCTGGCGCATCCCGTGCGACGTTCTGGCGTGACGTGCCCCGGCACGTCCCCTAGCGCGCCACTCGGCGTGGCACGCTCCCTGGCTCGTCCTCTGTCGCGTCTCCTGGCTCGTCCCCAGGCCTTTCCCCTGCCCGTTCCGTGGCGGGCCCCTTGCAACGTCCCTTGGCGTGACGTCCTCTGGCTTACCAGCCTCGAACGTACCCCTATCCCTAAGATTGATACGCCAAAAGGCAATGACAATCTTAGGGATCCGCCCTCAAAAAATAAGGGAATCCCTAAGATTGGCATCTTGGTGAGGAGGTGCCCAGCATAGGGATAGGGATATGTTCCAGGCTGGTAACTGGCCGCCCCATGGCGCGCGCCTTGGCACGTCCCAGGCCCCTGACACGTCCAGGGCACGTCCCCTAGTGCGTCCCCTGACACGCTTCCTGGCGCATCCCCTATTGCGCCCCTGCCTGGCACATCCTGTGGCGCGTCTGTGAGCCTGTGCCCCGTGTCGTATCGTTCCTTTTCGGAGCTGATGCGGATCTCGAGGTTGAGTTGATTGAACGTCCAGCACGTCTCTGCTTCAACTAGCTGTGGGGCAGCTACCATGTGCTCGGGCAGCTCGAGCTGAAGATCGAGATCAATTCGGTCAGGGCTCGGATGCAAAGGAGGACTCGATCTCAGCACTATAGAGCACAATCGCGGCATGGCACATCGCCATCCAGCCCAACACAGCACAGCCCTCGGCACGCTACATCAAAGTCGAAACACTCAGCACTGCAATTGCCCGTCGCCCAATCAGGTGTCTTGAACACGTTGCCATGCCTGACATTTTTCCCGGAAAGGGCGTAGGCCCAGGGTTCTCTTCTACATGTTTACCCCCGGTTTCGACTTCAAGGAGGCCGGCAAAATTATTCTGCGATAGATGACGAATTTGAAGGAGGCCGGCGGAATTATTTTCGAGGATGTCTCGAGCGAAACGCTTGTTTTTCAGAATTTGTTGAACATGTCTCGAGCGAAACGCTGGTTTTGCAGAGTTGGGGGTGTCTCGAGCGAAACGCTTGTTTTTCAGAATTTGTTGAGGATGTCTCAGATGAAACGCTGGTTTTGCAGAGTTGGGGTATCTAACATGGCGTCGGGCCCAACGACGAATTATGATGAAACGCGCGGGGGGCCGAAAAGCGCTACCCGAAAACATGCCCCAATACAGAAAAGGGATGGTTTCTTGCTCTGAACAGGGGGTTGCGCTTTGGGGGCCTCTCCAGGGAAGACATTGCGAGGATGTCTCGAGCGGGAGCGCGAATTCAGCGTATCCAGGTCACGCATGGGGGTATCTAACATGGCTGTCCCGAGCTGGAACCACGTGCTTTTTCATGCTCAGGCCACCCCGGGAGATCTCTAACATGATTGTCCCGAGCTGGAACCACGTTTTTTTACGTGTCCAGGCCACCCAGGGGGATCTAACATGGTTGTCCCGAGCTGGCACCGTGTTTTTTACGAGTCCAGGCCACCAACCCGACGCTTGTCCCCAGCACGTTCTGTAGCGCGTCCCTTTGGCACGTCCCGCGGTGCGTCCCCGTGGCACGTCCCCTAGCAAGTCGCCTGGCGCGTCCCTTGGAACGTTCCGCGGCGCGTCTTCCTGGCATGTTTCCTTGTCAATTAGTTCTTGGGCAGCTACTATGTTGTGGACTATGTGCTCAGGCAGCTCGAGCTTAATATCCAGATCAGTTCGGTCAGGACTCGGATGCAACGGTGGACTCGATCCTCAACACTGTAAAGCACAATCGCGGCATGGCACATCGCAGATCAGCACGGCGCAGCACAGCACAGCCCTCGGCACGGTACATCAAGATCGTACACTCAGCATTTCAATGTGGCACATTCTTTGGAACCTTCCATGGGGCGTCCCATGGCGAGTCCCCCGGGCACGTCGCGCGGCGCGTCCCCTGGCACGTCCCGTGGCACGTCCATTGGCACGTTCCGTAGCGCGTCCCCTCGGCACGTCCCGCGGTGCGTCCCCGTGGCACGTCCCCTGGCACGTCGCCTGGCGCGTCCCTTGGGACGTTCCGCGTCGCGTCCTCATGGCATGTTCCCCTGTCAATCAGCTCTGGGACAGCTACTAGTTATGTGCTCAGGCAGCTCGAGCTTAAGATCCAGATCAGTTCGGTCAGGACTCGGATGCAACGGTGGACTCGATCCTCAACGCTATAGAGCACAATCGCGGCATGGCACATCGCAGTTCAGCACGGCGCAGCACAGCACAGCCCTCGGCACGGTACATCAGAAAGAGCGTGTTCTACCGCTGCTGGCGGAAGACCGGGGGGGGTCACTACCGGTTCGACCCCCCCCCTGGGGCCCCCTCTGGTTTTCCGGAGGGGCCCCCACCGGAAAACCGGGGGGGGGTCGTTACCAGTTCGACCCCCCCCCCCCACCCCCACCCCAGTCCATCATGAAAAGGGGAGGGGGTCACTGCCGGTTCGAACCCCCCCCTCGAAAACCAGGGGGGGGGGGGTCATTACCGGTGGGGACGGTGGTGGTGGGGACAGTGGTGAGGGGACAGCGAGACGGCGGTGGGGACAGTGGGACAGTGGTGGGGACGGTAGTGGTGGGGACAGTGGTGAAGGCGATGGTGAGGACAGGTGTGGGACAGCAGCACGGTGGGGAAAGTGGTGGGGACAGTGGGGACAGTGGGACAGTGATATGTACAGTGGGGACGCTTGGACAGCACAGTGGGACAGCGGCGGGGACAGTGGGACAGTAGTGGGTACATGGGGGACAGTGGGACAGTGGTGGGGACCGTGGGGAAAGTGGGGAGAGTGGGACCGTGGTGGGACAATGGTGGGGAGAGTGGGGACATTGACACACTGGTGGGGGACAATGGTGGGAACAGTGGGGACAGTGGGACAGTTGTGGGGACGGTGGTGGTGGGGACAGTGGTGTGGGGACAGTGGGAATGTGGTGGAAATAGTGGGACAGTGGAGGGTACAGTGGTGGTGGGGACAGTGGTGAGGGCGGTGGCCAGGACGGCGGTGGGACAATGGGACAGAGGTGCAGTGGGGACAGTGGTGGGGACAGTGGGGACAGTGGTGGGAAGAGTGGGACAGCTCAGTGGGACAGCGGAGGAGACACTGGGACAGTGGGGACAGCGGGGATAGTCGGGCAGTGGTTGGGGCCGTGGAGAAAGTGGGGAGAGTGGAACCGTGGTGGGAACAGTGGTGGGGACAGTGGGGACAGTGCGACAGTGGTGGGGGCACTGGTGGGGACAGCAGGGACGGTGGTGGAACCAGTGGGGACAGTGGTGGTGAGGACAGTGGTGCTGGGAACAACAGTGGGGGATGTGATGCGAACGGTGGTCGGGACCAGGAGTCGTTTGCTGGCGGTGAGGGGGGGGAAGGGTTCGAACCAGTAGTGATCACCACCGGTTTTCGAGGAGGAAGGAAGGGGGGGCTCGAACCGGTAGTGACCCCCCACGGTTTTCGAGGGGGACGGGGGGGAGGGGGGTTCGAACCAGGGTGACCCCCTCTGGTTTTCGAGGGGGAGGGGGTTCGAACCGGTAGTGAACCCCCTCGTTTTTCTGGAGGGGGGTGGGGGGGTTCGAGGGCGGGG